TTAATTGGCAGCCATGAGAGTTATGTTATTATTTTTTTATGAGTGCTTCTTAAAATTAATGTTCTTTTCACTTTGACCTAATTGAAGATTCACATGCAGTTATAAGAAATAACAAAGATCCTGAGTAACTTTACTCAGTTTCCCTCAATGGTAATACCTTGCAAAACTATAGTCAATATTACAACCAGGATATTAACATCGATAGAATCCACTGCTCTTACTCAGATTTCCTGTTTTACTTGTACTCATCTGTGTATGTATTTAATTATATGGAATATTATCATATATGTAGATTTATAAATGTGTAACCACAATCAAGATATATCCCAAAGATTTCCTTTTTTCCTAACAATTTTATAATTTTACATGTTATATATAAGTTCCATTATCCTCAATCAATTTTGTATGGTAAGAGATTTAGGTTCGAGTTTTTTTGTTTGCTTATGTGTTTTTACCTATGGATGACCAATTGATCTAGCACCAATTTGCTGAAAAGATTATCCTTCTGCATTGAACTGCTTTTGTGCCTTTGTCAAAAATCAGCTGGGCATATCTGTGTGCCCCTTTTCCTGGGCTCTCTAGTCTGTTCTCTACCAATATTACACTGTCTTAATTACTGCAGCTGCATCTTAACCCTTAATATCAAAGAGTGATTTTTCTTACTTTATCCCTCTTTTTCAAGAGTGTGTTAACTATTCTAGATACTATGCCTTTCCATATAAATTTCAGAATAAGTGTGTCTATGTCTGCAGAAAGCTTACTGGGATTTTGGCAAGAACTGCATTACCTATGGGACGCCTGGGTGGCTCAGTTGGTTAAGCAACTGCCTTCGGCTCAGGTCATGATCCCAGCGTCCTGGGATCGAGTCCCGCATTGGGCTCCTTGCTCAGCAGGGAGCCTGCTTCTCCCTCTGCCTCTGCCTGCCACTCTGTCTGCCTGTGCTTGCTCTCTCTCTCTCTCTCTGACAAATAAATAAACAAAATCTTAAAAAAAAAAAAAAAGAACTGCATTACCTATAGATCAATTTGGAGGGAACTGACATCTTTACTAAGTTGAACCTTCTAATACACGAACATATTATGTTTCTGTTTAATTTGATTTATTAGCATTTTGTAATTTCCAGCATTCAGATCCTTCATGTGTTTTGTTAAGTGCATACACAGTAGTACTTCATTCTCCTCATAGCATTTGTAAATAATAATTGTGTTTTTAATTTTGGTTTCCATATAACCTGTGTTACCATACAAAAGCATCCTTTAATTTTTTTTTAAAGATTTAATTTATTTGAGAGAAAAAGTGAGAGAGAACATAAGCAGAGGGAGTAGCAGAGGGAGAGAGAGAAGCAGGCTCTTCACTGAGCAGGGAGCCCAATGCAGGGTCATGATCTGAGCCAAAGACAGCCACTTAATTGGTGGAGCCACCCAGGCACTCCCATCTTTTTACTTTCAACTTCCCTGTGTCATTAAATGTGAAGTGAGATGAAACTGACTTCAGTCACCTTGTAATTGGCTGGTGTTTCTTTTTGTTTGCTTGTTGTAATCTACTCTGCCAATATGCTTTTTTAATTGGTATATTTACATCATTTACGTGGAAAGGTAATTCTGATATATTTGAGCTTACGTATGCCATTTTATCATTTGTTTTTTGTTTTTCCTGTTTCTCCTTTTTCACCTTCCTGGGGGTTATATTTTTCAGAATTCAATCTTAATTTACTTTTAGAGTATTTGATTATATCTCTTTGGGTAAAAATTGTTGTTCCAGGTATTACAATATACATATGTGACTTATCACAATCTGCTGGTATCAACATTTTACCACTTCAAGTGAAGTATGGAAACCTTACTTCTGTTTAGGTCCCTTTGCCTTCCCCAATTTTTAATATTATTACCTTGAGTATCAGATGTTTCAGTCATAAATATGATTGTACAAACTCATGACACAGATATAATATTTACCCCAGTTTTTTACCTATTCTAAGATTCTACTTTCCTTTCTAAAATTTCATGTTATTCTCCACTATCATATCTTCCTTTAGTCTTTTTTTATTCCTTTTTAAAAGATTTTATTTATTTATTTGAGAGAGAGAGCACAAGCACAGGGAACAGCAGAAGGAGTGGGAGAAGCAGACTCCCCACTGAGCAGGGAGCCAGTGTGGGACTCTATCCCAGGGTTAGATAAGATTAAATAAAAAGATCCTGACACTTCCAAAAGCCATTGTTAAAATGCTCAGACTGTGGATTTGTGGATTGTCTTGTGTAGTAGCTCCTTGAATGCTCCCCACAATTGTTTTTCATAGGTATTAGTTCCCATTCTGCAGAAAAGTGATTTCCCCAAGATCTCTTAGCTCAAAGGCATATTAAGGTATATTCAAAAGAAGAGAAAAAATATATAAATATTCTAAGTCAAATTTTCTGCCTAGATCTCTCCAACATGAATGTGCTTTTGGGTAAAAATTTAAAAGCCATGGAAATTTTTTTTTACTAATGAACCAGAAATAGCATATCATATTAATGACATACAATGATAGCACCAGAAAAAGAGGAAGACTTGAAGTTAGGAAAAGTCGGTTTGGGCCTACGCCCATCATTTATGAGCTCTGTAACCTTGAACAAGTCATTTTACCTGCTATATCAGTCCTTCTTTGGCAAACAAGAAACAAATTTGAAAGCAAATTACAAATTTCTTTGCGTTCCAAGTGACTACAAACTTCCTGGCATAAAATAATGCCCAACTACAGGACCTACAATCTTGAAGGTGAGAAGTCTGGATGGTCTCTGCTTAATCAAGGATGAAATCAATTTGTTGACCGGTCTGTGGTCTTCTGTGCAGTTTCTAGAGAACAATCTGCTTTCAAGTTCCTTTGGGTTGTTGGGGGAAGTCCAGCTGTTAGCAGTTGTAGGACTGAAGTCCGTATTTTCTTGTTGGTTCTCTACTTCTAGAGGCTGCCCACATTCCTACTCGATTTGCTTACAAAGCTTTTGTGATGATGATCAAATGAAACCTGTTGTACCAATAGTGGTGAGGAATGTGGCTGCTGCTTAAGGCTGCTGGGTTTAGAGACGATCTCTCAACCTTCTTCCATAGAACCCGTCTAAACCACAGGTAATCCTCGCAGGAAGCAGGTTCTGAAGTCTCTAATAACAGTTGTGTTAGTTGAGACTTCTAGAGGGACAAAAACCACGTTTTGTGGTGGACAAATGTTTACTGAGGAAAGTGGATCAGATTCTATGAAGTGCCTGGCACCAGTGGTGGGGAGAATTCTAAGTGGCCGTTCTGCACTGAAGAGAAGGCATCGAGGCTTGGGAAGGGCTAACCCCACAGTCACGAAAGGGCATAGAAGTGAAGGATGCCTGCCCCAAACTAGAAGTGCAAATTCTAGAAGCATACACACCTGAATGGCCAGCGTCTATGAACCCAGGACCTCCCCCTCATTGCCCCCTGGCTGGGGGTTCAGCTCCTCTCACGTGGGGGACACTGGGCACACCCCCCCCCTCAAGTCCTTCCTCTGCAGAAGGTGCAAATAGAGCCGCCAAGCCTGCCCCCTCAGGCTCTGGCGCTCCAGGCCTATCCCCGCAGGTCCCTCAGTTCCCCGCCTCCCCCCGCACCCTACCCTCCGGCAGCTCACAGGTAGCCTCTGACTGGCTCCCGAGGCTGTGATTGGTCTTTCTGTTGCCACTGCCCACCCTCCCCTCACCGCCCCCCGCCCCCACCACCAATGCAGACTCCAGAAGCAGTGAATTTGCCCGCCAGCGCGCTCAGTTGCCACCATCGCTAAGGCTGACTCAGGGAACAGTGAATTTGCCCGCTAGCGCACTCGTTCCTGCCTTGGAGAAAGGTAAAAGCTGTCTTCCGCTTTTATTAGGGAGCACTCCAAAGTGAGATGTAGTGGGTAAACCGGTCTGGGCTGCTGTGGGTGAGAACGGGAGGCCTAGTTGTTGTGGAGGTGGCTATCTGTCCCTCTATGTCCCGGGGACAGTCCCTGTAGGTAATCGGTCTCTACGGCACCGGAACAGAGAGCATCCTGGCCCCGTGGGCTCCCTGGACACTCTGTCCTTACCTCCATTATTACTAAACCGGGTGTTTGGGTGTCTCCAAGCAACAGCAATTGACAAGTGGCCAGCGGGGTTCGAGGCTAGGCTTTACTGGGGCTTATGCTCCAGCACAAGGGAGACGGCACAAGGAGAAGAATCCTCAGGCTGACTCGCTGAGAAGAGGTCAGGGAGAATTTTTTAGAGAAACTTAGATGGGAAAAGGGGGACTCGAAGCACATAGAAGCAGGAATTTATTAGCACCTGCGCACTTATTATCCTTCTTCATGCATAACGCATCTAATTAACATGATAAATCTCCAACCCTGGGCATGATTTTTAGTATCATAATGAGGACAACAGTCAATGAAAGGACAGTGATGGGGTCCATCTTGGCGCAGACCGTTTTGGTCTTCCCCAGTCTTGGTATCGCAGCCCTCCCTTCCGTAAACGTCCTGCCTCCGCCGTTCCCGAGACATCTCCCCACTCAAGGGGCATAGGTTTCAGCTACCAAGGAATGCTGGGTTTCTCCCTCAGGGTTAAGGGGACCTGACTCCAGTCCCCACTCTGTCTCAGGTTGGCGGGCTGTCCATCGTTTCAGCTTCTCATTCTATATTTAGATCGGAGTAGTGTGGTATGAAAGAAAACGGATGTGTGGTTACTGGTGCAGTAAGCCTAAGGCATCATAGGAAGAAGTATGAGCGAGCCTCTCCTCCCTGCTCACACCGCCTTTTGTGGCGTCTGGGATGGGCACTGAGCCTGGTTCTGCTTCAGAGGAGGGAGGGAGATGGGCTTGGAGAGTGATCCTAGACCCTCCGGAGTATCCCCAGGGAGCGGCTAGACAAGGAGACACAGGGACACCCTTCTAAGTTCAAACTCCCATCTCACTCTTCCGTTCTTTCTCCCTAAGAATATTTTGCTCCTGGGTAAGTGCCAATAACTTGCACGCTCCTCTCCCCGCCAATTCCTGCAATGGGCAATAATTGCTTTGGCTTTAAGAAATGGCCGATTCGGCGACTGCGGCCTCTGCCCACCCTGATTATCATCCCTGCCCTCATGCCCCAGAACAAGAACAAAGACTGCTGCATTGTGCTTGGCACCGCTGGCATGGGCAAGAGCGTGTCAGTGTGGAGGTGGGTGTATGGCAACTTGCGCGATGCCTATCTGCCAACCATCGCAGATACCGACTGCCATGTGCTGAGCTCCAACCACGGCGTCGGGGCGCTGTACAGCACCGAAGCCACCGGCCGACCCCGCTATCCGGGTCTGCAGCGCCTCGCCGTTGCTAGGGGCCCTGCTGTCTTCCTGGTTTACTCCGCCACCAAGAAGCAAACCCTGGAGGAGCTGAAGCCTTTCTATAAGCTGATCTACAAAGTCAAAGACAACACCTTGCATAAATACCCTATCATTTTGGCGGACAGCAAATGCCAAGAAAGCCGCTGGGAGTCTACAGTAAGTGCTGCCTGCGCGTTGGAGTGGAATTGTGCCTTCTTGGAGACCTCCGCTGAGACGGATATCAGTGTGCAGGAGATATTTCACACGCTGCCGAACCAGGAGAAGACGCCTGCCGCCTGCCTTCACCATCCCCAGAAGAAATCCCTGATGCTGGAGACCGCGGAGAAGCTGCTTAACAAGTACATCGTTCTGTGAGCCCCGGGGTTCTAGGATTCTGAACTTCTTCCCTTACGGTGTGCAGAAAACATGGAGCAGTCCCAGTGTAATGTGTTACCTGTGTGTGAATGACTTCTGTGCTGTGGTTTGGGTAACAACTAGGTGCCAAGGAGGACAGGAAAAAAAAGGAGCGCTATGCATTTAAAGACTACTTGTATAGATGTTAGAGATTAATATTTGAAATAGAGAATGAAATGCTTGAAAGGAATTGAAAGAGGCCACTGCTCTTCTTGTAGCTCTAATTATGGTGTGTTATTTTAAAACATTCCAAGTCCTATAAAGTTGCCATTGTGTATTTAATTGTTTAAAAATGTGTTTTGGGGGCGCCTGGGTGGCTCAGTCCTTAAGCATCTGCCTTGGGCCTAGGTTATGATCCCAGAACCTTGGGATGGAGCCCCATGTTGGGCTCCCTGCTCAGTGGAGAGCCTGCTTCTTCCTCTCCCACTCCCCCTGCTTGTGTTCCCCCTCTCACTGTCTCTCTCTTTCAAATAAATAAATAAAATATTTTAAAAATGTGGTTTTGCCACCAAAACTGGCAGATAAATTTCAAACAGACATGTTAAACAAGGTAAATAAATGGATATTCTAGAGCCGAGCATTGAGGGCGGGGGCAGAGAAAATGGGGAAAGTGGAACTTGCTTATTAAATGTGTGCCGGTTGTTTTCAAACCATTTAAAAATGTTTGCGTATTCCATGTAGCAGTTTTTGTGACTCAAATCAAGCTTTTCCTGCATGCAATCAGCTTTATAATGTCTTTTTCACTGGTCAACAACAAAAATACCCATTGCATTAAAATTTCAACCACATCTGGGTGAGGTTTCTAATAAGAACTTGAGGCACATTCCCTCCTGAAATTAGCCAGTGTGGGCAGGGGTGCAGTTAAAGGGTCCCTGCGATGCAAAGCTGGTCTGTATCCATAACCATTCCTAGGCTGACATCTGGAGAACTCCAGACATCTCTGAAAAGGGTGCTTTCTCTCTTGCTGTCTTGGAGATGGTGGAAAGCAAGCCTCACCTTTGGCTGCCTCAAAGTCTTCCCTCAAGAAATGCTGGATATGGGGAGTGGGGAGGGGGATGGAAAGTAAGGGAAGATATGGTGGGATGTAAAATTCAAGAAATTCCTCCTTAAGGGAGTTTTTTTTTAAAAGATTAATTTTATATTTGAACATACTTTTTTGAGTAAGGGAATACCTACCTATACATATCTTTTTGAGTGTGATTTTTTAAATTGGGGGAAGGAGTTTCTTGATTTGGTGACTTTTTTGCCATGAAATATTTATTATCGAACAAATATCACTGAATAATTTTTTGTTTTTAAAAAATTTTAATGATTTATTTTAGAGAGAGAGATAGCACAAGTGTGAGGGGGAGAGGGAGAGAGAGAGAATCTCAAGCAGACTCCAAGCTGAGCATGGAGCCCCATGCTGGGTTTGATCCCAGGGTCCTGGGATCATGACCTGAGCTGAAACCAAGAGTCAGACGCTTAACCAACAGCACCCACCCAGGCACCCCAACTTTTGTGTTTTAAAAGTAGTTTCCTATAGCTTGATTCTTAGGGAAAAAGCACACTGTTGAGAAGTGCTCATAAACACAAGGCAAATTTGGGGGAAGATCTATTTGCACATGTATAAGAGGATAATAAGTTGCATTTTGGATAACACAGTTGTTAGGATAGTCAAGTGGAGCTTTCCTTAGGGAAAAAGCACACTGTTGAGAAGTGCTCATAAATATAAGGCAAATTTGGGGGAAGATCTATTTGCACATGTATAAGAGGATAATAAGTTGCATTTTGGATAACACAGTTGTTAGGATAGCCAAGTGGAGCTTTCCAGTGGGAATTAGACTGGGGCTAGGGGTTGGAGACAATGATTGTGAGTTTTCAGCATAGAGCTGGTAGCAAGGCTGTGCAGGGAGAAAATGAGGCAAGATAAATGGATTTAGGGCAGAATCTTGAGCAACACAAGCACATTAGAAAGCCACTAACCTAGAGGAAACTGCAGATGGCACTTAGAAGTGATCAAATGAGGAAACTCACAATGTGCAGTAGCACACTGGAGAAATGAGTTTCAAAGACAAGCATGTAATGTACTCTATCATAGCAAAAATTTCTTAGAAGCTGAATAAGATGAGGATTAGAAAGACTTGCTCATATTTAGCAGTTAGGAGATTTCTGGTTTCAGAAAAGATAGAGTAGTCCCTCTATTCCCCCCAGGTACTACTTCTTACAACTAAAATAACTCTGGACATAACATAATAAAGAAGCAAAGGAAAACACTTAAAGGTGGAAAGCAATGTACTGCCTAGGAACCTGGGGATGTGAGGAACAGCATGATGGTGATTCAGGTTTTCTTATTGTCCATCTAGGACAAGACCATGCAGAATGCCTCCAGGTCAGAGCTGCCAAAAGGTACAGATCAAAAACACCAAAATGGGGCACATTTTCCCTAGCCAAAGCACCAGGAAAAGATTGGTTTAATAATAGAAAACCTTCTTGATGATATGTACCCAAACATCAAATGACATGAGCGAAACCCCTGCTCTCCCCCAGCCTCCCCAGGGAAGATCTGGTTTTCCACCTCATTACTCCCTGCCCTGCAGAGGCAGAAGGTAGTTTCCTGATGTCCCCTCCTGGTGTTGGACACCAGGACAGCGCAGGGAGCCAATCTCTACCCTAGAGCAGCAGGTCCCCCAACCCTTTCCCCACTGGAAGCTCGATGTCCGTGGGGCTGAGCAGGGAGTTCCTGCTCTCTGTCCCCTGTTAGCAGGTGTTTGGCAGGGAGCTGAGCCTCCATCTCCACCTGTCAGCAGCGAGGCTGATGACATGGTGTGGAACAGAGCAAGCCAATAGTCTACTTCTCCCCTAGCCCACCCATACCTTCATGAGTCTCTGCTCCTGTGTCCATAATCAAGAGTTCGGGACACGATGATCACTTTCGTCTCTCCCAAAAAGTCCTAAGTGAGAAAATTTACATATTACTGCTTGGATTGCAGCAGGGAGGATATAAACCATTCTAACCATTCTCTGCACTAACAATTTTATTCAAAGAAGCTAGAATCTATAGCTTCTATTTTTGCACCATCCAACATCATAGCCTCTGGCCTTATGTGATGTCTGCACTTAAATGTTGGCTAGTCCAAATTGAGATGTATTGCAAGCATAAAATAGACTCTGGACTTAACTACAAAAGGAGCAATGTGACAAGCTTATATATTTTTAAATTTATTACATGTTGAAATGATAGTATTTTAGATAGGTTGGTTTAAGTGACATATATTATTTAAATTAATTTGATGTTTCTTTCTAGTTTTTTTTTTTTTAATTTTATTTTTAAGCAATCTCCACACCCAAAATGTGGCTTGAACTCATAGCTCTGAGACTAAGGGTCATGTGTTTTACTGACTGAGCCATCCAGGCACCCCTCTTTCTACTTCCCTAAATGTGGCTACCAGAGGGGTTTCTAGGTGGCAGAGTCAGTTAAGCATCTGGTCTTGGTTTTGACTCAGGTCAAGATCTCAGGGTCCTGAAATCAGCCTCCATGCTCAGCGTGGAGCCTGCTTAAGACTCCCTCTGCCCCCTCCACCCCCACTAGTGTGTTCTCGCTCTCTTGCTCTTTCTAAAATAAATCTATGTTTAAAAATGATATTTAATATCTTTTAAATTTATATGTAATATTTAAATTTTTAAAATATTTAAATTTAAATATTTAAAATTATATTCATAGCTCATCTTTATGTCCTACATATCTTCTGAGTAGGCAGTGCTGATACATGTTCAGAGTCCTATCGGAACTAATTTCTTTTTTTTTTTAATTTAAATTCAGTTAGCCAACATATATTACATCATTAGTCACAACTAATTTCTATTTTGAATTGATTACATACATAGCCAGGATCAACAATCAAGAATCAAAAACTGTTAGCATGTATATAAAATAATATGTGTCATCAGATGTCTAAGTAACTTCATGAAATTCAAGATTAACAGAAATGGAACAAAATCCACTGAGATGTATGTTTGCATATAAATTAATTTGAATAGTACATCTATCAGCTACATTTATAAACCCAGGCCCATGGGCTCAGTGCTTGGAAAAATAAACATGTCAGACTGTGTATTCAGTGAGTTGGTGAGGATTAAAATAAATGAAAACTGAAAATATGCCTACCGCATTGATGATATTTTCCCGGGCTATGGATACTGACAACCCTGCTAGCCACTTGACACCAAGAAGTGGAAAGTGGAGGAAAGAAACCTGATGTGGGAATAATACCATTTTGTAAACTGAGATCCAATACATTTCACTATTCAACACTACTATTATGGGGATATGGTGGTGTATTCATGGAAGTCATCCATTTTGTCTTCCAGATGAATAAATGTATCCTGGAAAGGATCTCACAGACTCCAAATAGCATTAGAATTCTCTTTCTGCCTCCAAATATCCTTCCCAGTATCCTCTCTGAGTACATCTCAGCCACACACCCTTTTCCCAACCAGCGTGGATGATTTGCTGCCCGAGCCAGCATCTTAGGTAGTTGTTCCTTTGCTCTTTCTTCACAGAAGGTGCTTTTTCTTCCATTTTCTGCCTACCAAAATTTTATTCACCTTTCAGAATCTAGCCCAAATACCAAAGGCCACTCCCACTGAAGTCTTCCCTATTTTTTAGTAATCATTTACAGAGAGCCCTGGGGTACAGAGTCCCTGTCTTCAAGGAGCACGTGATCCAACACAGGAGCTGGGGAAGAAGATAAAAATACACAGCATTCTGTGGCTGGTGCCATGAAAATGAGCACACTCTCCACACTGCTATCATCTTGGCCTTGGAAAAATACACTTAAAATGCACTAATTTAAAAAATTTAAAATTGCACTTGATTGCACTGTTGCTTTTTTCAAGGGTCCTCATTTGCCAGAGCGTCTGACAAATGTGCATAAAACTGTGTGGACAAAGATGTATGTCACAGCGTTGCGCCGTCTACC